ATACACCACTCATCATACACCACTCATCATACACCACTCATCATACAGCACTCATCATACACAATCATCATACACCACTCAACATACACCACTCATCACCCAGTTAGCTCTAGTTTCAAGAGCTCTCTAGCTCCAGTTAGCTCTAGTTGCAAGAGCTCTAGCTCCAGGTAGCTCTAGTTTCAATAGCTCTAGCTCCAGGTAGCTCTAGTTTCAAGAGCTCTAGCTCCAGTTAGCTCTAGACTCTAGTTTCAATACCTCTAGCTCCAGTTTACGTGGCAGGCGCAGCACTTTGTGAACCTCCATGTGCAGATTTCGTGGCAGGCACAGCACTTTGTGAACCTCCATGTGCAGAGTTCGGGGCAGGCACAGCACTTTGTGAACCTCGAGGTGCAGATTTCGTGGCAGGCGCAGTACAAAATACGTTTTCGAGAGATAGCGGACGCACCAAATGCTGTGTTTTTCAAAAGAAAGGGTGGCTCCGAAGCCAGCGCTTTGTGAACCTCCATGTGCAGATTTCGTGGCAGGCACAGCACTTTGTGAACCTCCGTGCGCAGAGTTCGTGGCAGGCAAGGCACTTTGTGAACCTCCATGTGCAGATTGCGTGGCAGGCGCAGTACTTTGTGAACCTCCATGTGCAGATTTCGTGGCAGGCGCAGCACTTTGTGAACCTCTTTTTTTCCGAACCTCGACGGGGAAGCTCCGCGGAACGACGGTTGCGAGACGGTCTCGGGTCATGGTCGGACCATTCTCGGAATCGTCCCTCCATAGTGATTAGAGGTTTCAGTTGTTTCTTGAAGTGCAGATCTCGTGGCAGGCGCAGCACTTTGTGAACCTCCATGTGCAGATTCCAGATTCCGTGGCAGGCACAGCACTTTGTGAACCTCCATGCGCAATTTCTGGCAGGCGCAGCACTTTGTGAACCTCCATTTGCAGATTTCGTGGCAGGTGCAGCACTTTGTGAACCTCCGTGCGCAGACTTCGTGGCAGGCACAGCACTTTGTGAACCTCCATGCGCAGATTTCGTGGCAGGCACAGCACTGTGTGAACCTCCATGCGCAGATTTCGTGGCAGGCACAGCAATGTGAACCTCCATGTGTAGAATTCGTGGCAGGCACAGCGCTGTGAACCCCCATGCGCAGAATTCGTGGCAGGCGCAGCACTGTGAACCTCGAGGTGCAGATTTCGTGGCAGGCAAGGCACTTTGTGAACCTCCATGTGCAGATTTCGTGGCAGGCGCAGCACTTTGTCAACCTCCATGTGCAGATTTAGAAGAGACAGCACTTTGTGAACCTCCATGTGCAGATTTCGTGGCAGGCACAGCACTTTGTGAACCTCCATGTGCAGATTTCGTGGCAAGCACAGCACTTTGTGAATCTCTCTTTTTTCCGAACCTCGACGGGGAAGCTCCGCAATCTGTGGAGCTGGAAGCTGAGAACTGGCGACTTTGTAGTACAACTTTAGTCCGCGGAGTATCTGGGGAGCTGGAAGCTGAGAACTGGCGACTTTCTAGTACAACTTTAGTACGTGGAGTATCTGTGGAGCTGGAAGATGAGAACTGGCGACTTTGTAGTACAACTTTAGTACGCGGAGTATCTGCGGAGCTGGAAGATGAGAACTGGCAACTTTCTAGTACAACTTTAGTACGCGGAGCATCTGGGGAGCTGGAAGATGAGAACTGGCGACTTTGTAGTACAACTTTAGTGCGCGGAGCAGTCTGTGGAGCTGGAAGCTGAGAACTGGCGACTTTGTAGTGCAACTTTAGTACGCGGAGTATCTGGGGAGCTGGAAGATGAGAACTGGCGACTTTGTAGTACAACTTTAGTACGTGGAGTATCGGGAGCTGGAAGATGAGAACTGGCGACTTTGTAGTACAACTTTAGTACGCGGAGTATCTGGGGAGCTGGAAGATGAGAACTGGCGACTTTGTAGTACAACTTTAGTACGCGGAGCAATCAGTGGAGCTGGAAGCTGAGAACTGGCGACTTTCTAGTACAACTTTAGTAGGCGGAGTATCTGGAGCGCTGGAAGCATGAGAACAGGCGACTTTCTAGTACAACTTTAGTGCGCGGAGCAATCTGTGGAGCTGGAAGCTGAGAACTGGCGACTTTGTAGTACAACTTTAGTGCGCGGAGCAATCTGTGGAGCTGGAAGCTGAGAACTGGCGACTTTGTAGTGCAACTTTAGTACGCGGAGTATCTGGGGAGCTGGCAGATGAGAACTGGCGACTTTCTAGTACAACTTTAGTACGCGGAGTATCTGGGGAGCTGGAAGCTGAGAACTGGCGACTTTGTAGTACAACTTTAGTACAACTTTAGTAGGCGGAGTATCTGGGGAGCTGGAAGATGAGAACTGGCGACTTTGTAGTACAACTTTAGTACGCGGAGTATCTGGGGAGCTGGAAGATGAGAACTGGCGACTTTGTAGTACAACTTTAGTACATGGAGTATCTGGGGAGCTGGAAGCTGAGAACTGGCGACTTTGTAGTACAACTTTAGTGCGCGGAGCAATCTGTGGAACTGGAAGATGAGAACTGGCGACTTTCTAGTACAACTTTAGTGCGCGGAGCAATCTGTGGAGCTGGAAGCTGAGAACTGGCGACTTTGTAGTACAACTCTAGTACGCGGAGCAAGCCGTGGAGCTGGAAGATGAGAACTGGCGACTTTCTAGTACGACTTGAGTACGCGGCTGAGTCATCTCTATTCTGTATTTTGCAAAATGCAAGACAGTTGACAGTGGTTGCTCGCTTTCGCTCCATTGGTCGGTTCCAAAGAACATCGCAGCTCGGCGAATCAGCCTGCCACATGCCCCTTTCCTATAGGTTTATTTTTTTGGAAACTTCCGCCGCCGGCTTGCCCGGGAACTACTTGTACAGGAATTTACAGGTTGGTTCTCGCCACTTTGCATATCGCCAGCTTAGTAATCAAATGAGTAAATATTATGCAGTACAACAAACAAAATACTACCATTAAGTTATACGACACAGTGTGCGCAATTGTGCATAATTACTATAGATCATTAAAAAACATAAAATACATGGCTCGAAGACTAGGATAGTCTAAATAGATCTAAATAGTACACCACGCAACGCGACCTCCAGCAACCACATCTAACACTGCAACACCCGACTGATGGACCAGACCGAGCGCAGCGCAAAAATCCGACGCGGACGTCGCAAACTCAGTGTCCAGCACCACGGGTGTGCAGGGAGGCCTGGATCAGGCGCTCGAGCGCTTGATCTCCCAACATCCGATCGCAACCCCGATCGGCGCGGCTCGGAGACATCGTCAGCTTCAGCGGCTCCAAGGGCTCCAGCTTAGGAAGCGGTCGGAAGAACTGAGCAAGTCCACCCTTTCCAGTTGGGTTAGCATGGAAAGCGAGGCAGCGAATCATTGTCAAACCCTCCCAAAATGATCCTGGGAAGAGATGGCTTGATTTCAGAACCACAAAAGTGACGGTCGGAGCCTGCCTGGTGAAGCTACCTTCATAGCCGAATGCAGTCAAGGTGTCCTGCAGCGGCACCTTTTGTCGTGTGCCCAGTTGATGATTAATCTGACTGGTATAACGGATTATAAAGGGCTACTGAATGCTAATGACCTGTCAAGGAAGCATGAAGCATGTCAGCATCAGAGTCAGCCTTCATCGTCCAAGGAAAACATGAGCTTTATAATCTTTATAGTTCCGGCTATAGTTTGCTGGCAACGGATGTTCACAACTTCCATGAAGCTCGGGAGTACGGATGTTCACTAGAGGCTCCTTGCTGCATTATTTGGCAAAGTTCGGTCCTTTCTTTGAACAGACTCCTTGAAGTCAAAGTCCTCGGCAAGACACACGAAGACCACTGTGCGCTGCAAGACCACTGTGCGCAAGTGGCAGTTGAGGTGAAAAACAGTCTTCAGTCTTCTACAAACACAGCTCAACTAAACTCCAGCAACCCTAAGCCGATAGAGAAAGATACAAGAGCGACCACCCAACTTGCGACTAAACCCATGTCAAAGCCGCGAAGGATGTCGAGCCGAACTCAGTCTCCCTCTGCGCACCTGTCCAGAATCGCAAGCACTGGGGATGACAGAGCAAGATTCCAAGGCAAAAATCAAGATGACACTCATGGCTAGGGGTTGTCAACGGACCACTTGAAACAACCAAAGATCCCTCAAACGACTAACGACTGGGTCTCGACATGACATGAATGGATCCAGGAGGCTGCGACCAACAAATGAAAGCCTGGTTTCGTCTGAAGTGTTCCGACTCCCTCAGTTTCCCTCAAAAAACAAAGGTGAACCGTAGGTGAACCCTCTATTGGTCACCTGTTCTATCGTTCAGTGGGAAAACCTTTTGTTCTCACTCAAAAGACTTCAAAAGGTAGCGGTTGGGCGATCCACGAACTTCCCGGGCCCCCAATGGCCCATCCCCCCCATCTCAGCCCCTCTCAGCCCACCCCGACGCAATTGCCGCACAGATGCTTCTCCTCGCTCGGCGCTCGCGGCGAGCCGTGTGACACCAACCCGGCGCTCGCGCGCGCGAGCTCGGCGCGGATGGATGGAGAGTCGGTTCAGTGCAGAGCGACATACAGAAGAACGATGAGATACGATCAGTCGGACAAAGGTGGTGAGACCTTCGGGTTTTGAGAAGATGGAACCTAAAACATGGACAACTCAAGACTGCCCTGAAAACATGGACTGGAGAAGGGAAGAAGTGGCAAACTGGATTTCCATGGATTTCCTCTTCCAAAGGAATTTCCGTTGCTTTGCTGGAACGAGGGGAGTACATGTCCAACATCCATTCTAGAATGAGATCACCTGGTCAAGCAAATTGCGGAAGCGGACCTCCGTGTGAATCCGGGGTGTCGTTTCTCCCTCTGAGATCCTCAATCAGTGATGCAACTGCATGCAAATGCTTTCTTCGGCTGCTCATCCACCTGGTTCGACGACGTTGGTGCCAAGAATCAATGAAGGGAAGTTTCGTCCCCCCAAATTCTTCCATTCCATTCCTACATTCCACACCACCTCGGTCGCACCCTTCGAGTTTTCCATCCGCCCGTTCTCCCTCCCTCGCCATCCGCGAGAGTCCTGGATCGCCCTGCCTCGGAGCGTGCCAAACGGCGTTCGTTTTCTTCTTAATGTCTTCACACAGGTTTTTGGGACTTCTTGTTCAATAAACATCATATTACTATCAGGAGCTGATATACGGTAAAAGTATATAGGATACTTTGGCAATCTTTGGTATAAATACATAATTTTCGGTTCTTGTTCAATCATGTTCAATGACCTGGAGCCCACATGAGTGACCTCTGTCAATAGAAGGAAGAAGGTTGGAGCATGTCGGAGCATCTTTTTGGAGCAGGTTGGTCACTCAGGCGAGAGCATGGTTCAGCACCCAGACCCCCATATTTGGGGCTCCCACAGTCGATGATGTCTGTAGCACAAGCCGCGAGTTTATCGCGTGATGTTTGGTCGGTCGAAGGCTGGTCCAGGCTGCGAACGAACGGAAGTCTTCAGCGAGGTGATGTATGGTGACTCTTTCGTAATGCCCTAGCAGCGATGCCCTCGTTCCTACGAGTAGAAGGGGGTGCCCTTTGCTGAGTTGACGACAGCTCTTTTAGACGTTCTTCCAGATGTTGGACCTTCTTTCGAAGCTCTTCGGTGACCTGAGTGAAGCTGTCATGAAAGAACTCTTCACCTGTCAGGTTATGGGAAGAAAAGAAACTCCCAGAGCTTTGGTTGCAAGTTGTAATTGAATCTACCCATCCACCCAAACGTCAGGGCCCTCAAATACACAATTGATGGCCCCACCCCCATCCCTCAAGTGCACATGTTCATGACATGAACTCTAAAGTCTGGTGCCTGCATCTCTGAACTCTGGTGAGGTTCTGGAAGCCTTTTGAGAGTCTTTGTTGACACAGCCCTTGCTGAGGACCACATAGGACCACGTGACCACTTGCTACGCTCCTGGGGAGATGAACACCTACTCACGCAGTGGGAGTCGGTTTGGTGATTGATCCCATCCTTTGGGAGTCGCCACACCAGCCCTTTCAGGCAGGGGAAGAACAACACATCGATCGATTTCGAAAAACATCGAAAAACCCATGGATTTCTCGCCACACCCCGGCGCGAAACCGCCCCAGCTGAGCTGAAATCACATGGTCCCGTCCGGCAGGGATCCGTCATCCTTACTCAAACACTCCATGGGACTGGAATATGATATGCATCCATTGACCCCGGTGTGTCCCAGTCCTTGGCCCTCCTCTTCCTGGGGTACCCCGCAGCCTGCGGCTGTGTTCGGTTCTCCTTGGGACGCTGAGAGGTGCTGAGCCTGAGCCTGTCGGCCTTCTCATGCCTTGTCCAACGTATCATCCCGAATGACCCCTAAACAATGTAATTCAATTACAGTACATGTTTGACCCCCCCCCCCCCGTGGTTTCCTTGTTCGTGGGGTAGGGATAGTCTATCCCAAATCCCAGACCCGACAGTTCTGCCCAAACCCACTCAGGAAGTGCACCATCAAGCGTATCACAGGTCGGGGTCGACTGACCTACCCCACTGCAAACGATCCCATGGAACCTGAGAATTCACCTGTTAGAAGACCATGTTCCGAATACCAACCCGACGTGGGCCATTGGGGTTCCATGTCAGTTTGCAGGGGAGTAATTAAATGGAAACATGTGGGTGTGTTTGAAACAGGGGTCCTATTCTAACACTGCCCATGTCAGTCAGCCCCTTCTCCGCCCATGTCAGGAAAACATCCAGCGTCTCCACTTCGCGTTGTCTAAGCCTAAGCCCCAACCAAGGCACCATGGCTCCAGCACCCGCCTCCGCTAAGGCACGGATCTCCCGAGATTGCGATGCCATGGGGAGGAGTGATTCATTCATCAGTAAGGAGTCTTGTAACAAGAAGCTCCATCAGTAAGGAGTAAAGGAGTAAAGGAGTCCGCAGTATATAAGGAGTCCGCAGTCAGGAGTAAAAGAGTCTCCATCTATCTCCATCTCAGGCCCCACTTCTGGATTCTTCCCCCGTACCAGGGGTCATCCTCATCGAAAACCCGTGCGAATGCTCAAGCTGAGACCCTGAACTGTGCCTATTTGGAGACGGACCACCCGAAGGCTTACTGCTGACGCACATCAGGCACTAAGAGAAGGCTGTTCCCAAGCACGATATCATGTTATGTCACAGCCATGAACCTCTCTTGAACCAAAGAGCCGACCAAGAACGCACCAAAGAGCCACTCTGGCCTCGACGTTCCTCGTGACGCTTTGGTGCAACCATTTCAACACCTCTCCCGCTTCAGTCTCCGCCTGGAGCGGCGATGATGTATCCCTCGGTTTTCACGCTGACGAGGAGGATGAGGTGCTGAGTTACCCAAACGCTCATGGGCCCTTAGGGGTCTGTGGTCGAACCAATCCCTAGGTTTTGAGGGACCAGTCGGGCGTCGTTCACGGAGCGTCTGGGTCGGTGGTTTGGACCAGGGCAACCTTCCAGTCGTAGTTTCTAAGTGGATAGACAGTTCACGAAGAGTCCAAAGACGGTGCTTCAGTGCTTCATCTTCCTGACCCAAAAATCCAGTGGCGAGTCTCAAGTGCAACACCTGGAGCCCCAAATGCTGGTGGGTTGATATCCCTGAAAAAGAGGAGATCTGTTCATTTGATCCGCGGTCAACCGTCCGGGTGAAAAACGGTGTGCAGCCATTTCTAGACTCCTATATATATATATATATACATACCTGCAATTTGCGAACCAGACCCCTGAGGTGTCGACCCCAAGGGTCACCCACTGACTCGACCCTTTGTGTAGTTGCTCACGCCCGGTCCTGAACTCTTCTCATCTCAGTCCCCTTCACCCAATCCTTCGCGACTCGACCGCGGAACCACTTCTCGCGACTCGACCGCGGAACCACCGTCGCCCAAAAAGCCAGACGCCGCTAGCGGCTAGCGCGCTGACCGTGTGGGGTGTCCAATAGAAGAGGGACAACACCACCATACGCGCAGATTCGGGCCGCTGGAGCCTGGCAGAGTTCGCGCACCACACAGGACTTTCTTGCGGGAGATGGTGCTGGGCAACACGGGACTGATTGCGGATCGGAGACCTTTTCTGAATTCCGATGCAAATCCCTGGAAAAGTGAAGGGGACGAGCTCCACCTGTTCTTGTTTAGTGGGGTGTTCCCCAGTTCCGCATGTGTCCCCGCCAAAAAGGTTTTAATCTTATGACACTTTTCCCGAGCCAAAGCGCTGCTCGAAATCGGTCGAACGAACATCATCGACACCTGAAATCAAACGGCTTGACCTGTGCCCATCTGTGCCCGGCCCAGCCCCAACCCTTGCTCCTTTGTTGATGTGTTAGGCGCAGCCAAAGGGCACGTTTCGCTTGAAGTCACTGATGACTAGGTAAAACAAAACAAGTTCTCGCTAGTGTGGTGGGACTTCCAGTCGTTGGACCCATTTCAAGGAGTGAAGGTCTTTGACTAAAAGAACGGTTGAACGGTGCTCAACGTTGAGAAAGTCCCGAGAGGCCACTGAGAGGCGGCCGCCGAGCGGACAAAGAGGGCCTCTCAAAGTTGAAGCTTGGTTTTGGGACGGAACATGCTTTATATTGATGTTCATAATCTTTGATTGATGTTCATAATTTATATTTTATTTTGTTCATAATTGATGTTCCAAGGGCATCAAACAATCCTTGTTCTCGATCTTTCCAGGTAGTGAGGTTGAGGCTGGCGACCCACTGTAGATGACCACAGTGTCTTTGAACCTTCCCCCCCCAGCGGCGTTCGCGCTTGCTGGGCCCGCCTTGCGTTGAGAAGCTCCACTTGCTGGTCGATCTGTAAAATCCTGAGCGTTGCTGTAAGCGAAGGAGCGCAGGAGTTCCCGAAGTCCAGGTGCTGTGAAAGGACCATCAAATAGCATGAGTAGATCAGCAAGGTGTTCGCTCAAAACCACGGGAGAAACGCTCGGGATTCCAACAAAACTACCACAACCACTGGAGACCCCCAAAGCAAACCATAATCACACGTCTGCTGCCTGCATCTTGTTTGGCAACCGCATGTTTATGAACCATACCATGTTCGATATGCTGAATGTTCATTGACATCATGACGGGTCAGGCAGGCCTACGAGCAACACAACAAACCGTAGGGAAGGACCGGCAGTGGCAGTGGAAGAGATCTTGATGCTCTACCAATCTCTACAGCTTCCAATGCAAAGTTTCATAGCGTCCAAACGAGGATCCCGTTCATCACCCTCCCATCACCCCCGGGCAGGGAACCCCGGCCGTTCATGGAGCTGTTGTACATGCTCCATGAGAAACGCACCGTCCTAGAGGGTGGGGGGAGCACATGCTCTCCGCGGTGAAGTATCTTATGCAACCGAGAGGAGGGATGATCAGAACCAACGTAATCTATGGTAATCATTCCTCAATTCCTCATCTACAATATGCATGTGGAGAATCTGAGGGGGACGATGCCAGCATGGTTTTTTTGGATGAGTATTGATGCGCAAGGATCTGATTCTCAGTAAGGGTCCGATTCTCTGGGCTGTTCTCTCGCCTAACAATTAGGCGATACGATCGACTGTTCGTGGTAGCGCGTGGTAGCGCGTGAACGCCTCACAAGCAAACACACTGCAATGACAACATGCATGAGTATGATCAAGTATTTGTGCATAAGTTGATCAACACCCAAACAAAACATTGCACACAAATCAGGAAAGAGAAAGCTGCAGCATGTTTTTTGTGATTGTCGAAATAGACAACATTCGATGAACTACATATTGCCTGTTTAAGAACGTAATAAGCATAATGACAAAGCATTTTCGTGGATGACCCGTGCTCACCGACCTGGTGTTCGGCAGACTGTGCAGAGGTGTTCCACGCTCTCTTTCAGCATCACCACACCCAAAGCAGGTGCTCCTTTTTCTAATCTGTATTCCTTGTTGTACGGCAAGGATCAAGTTTTGACTCAAATGGTGGGCGGTGAAGTATTTGGTATTCCTCAACACCGACCAGGCCGCCAAGCAGCAGCCATTGCCGCCATAGATCACCAAAACCTCTTCAAGCTTACAGCATACATCAGCAATACTAAGTATCCATGCTTTGCTAATTTGGTGCTTTGGCAACATAGCTTGTAAGGTTCAGGTACATTCTCCCTTTCCTTCCCTTCGACCGAAGGCTCTTCTCATCCGCCCGCCCCCCCAAATCACGCCGTGCTCGGTCTCCTTGACGCTGTGTTGCCGGACGCTTTCGGCCTCCACACCGAAGGTTCATCGGTTGGGGTGGAAAAGCGGGGAGATGTTTGACGGTGTGACCATGGGGCCACGTCACCATGGGGCCACATCACCATTGTGACCATGGGGCCACGTCACACTCCGACAACACATCACAAATCAGTGGAAAACCCTCTGTTTGTAAAGGAACATGGTCTTCCAAGGGACCATGCCATCCACTTCCATGATAGTGAGTCAGAGGGTAGAGTTTGATGAAATCAACCATCAGCATTACTTAGCCAAGGAAAGTGTCTAGTAGGCACTTCGGCATGTCTTGTCTACTCGTCATGGTTTGTTAATAGGAGCCCCATCTACTTTTTTGCAGACTTACAGTCATCTATCACTCCGAGTCTCTAAAATGCAAGTGGAAAATCACCTGTTCATAGAGAAAAATGGTCATCCAAGGGGGCCCATGCCATCCACTTCCATGAATAGTTGAAGGAGTGTTTTCCCGAATGCGTAGCGAAGGGTTCTCGTTTAACTCTGGGGGTCTGGGGGTAGAGTCTTGTTCGCGATCCGTTGTTTCTATGTTCGCAACCGTCCGCAACCGTCCGCAACCGTTCGCAACCGTTCGCAACCGTTCGCAACCGTTCGCAACCGTCCGCAACCGTCCGCAACCGTCCGCAACCGTTCGCAGTAGGACGCTAAGGCGCTGCCATTGGGGGAAGCTTTTGCAAGTGACTTTTCATGGATGTGTCGCGTGTCAGTTTGCGACGCTATTCCATTGTGATTTGCATGAAAATGACATGTCGCGCAAGAAGCGTGATGCATTTCGCTGCACAGGCGCAGTGGTTTGAGAGATCCGCAGTTTACTGCGCAGTTCCATTGGGATTAGCGTTTGGAGAGTCGTGTTTTTGGGGTGTTGGATGTGGCCGTGCCATTGGGATTTGCATTTCAGGGTGTGGCATCGAAGCTCTGTTTTCGTGACAAGTCTCAGCTGAAATGGCGATTTTCGTGGATGGGAGTGTGCTCAGAACGGGTCGAAATCATTCTAAACGTGTGGTGTGGTGCAAATTTTGTTGAAGCTCACGTGAGATGATATTCTCACTTTTCGTGGCAGGCACAGTACTTTGTGCTGATTTTGAGGTGTGGAAGTGCGATTTTCGTGGCAGGCGCAGGAAATCGTGAGGTTGCGAGGTGTGACGGAGTTGACATTTCGTGGCAGGCGCAGTACTTTGTGCGCGTTAGACGTGTGGATGCGGAGAGATTCGTGGCAGGCGCAGGGAATCGTGAGGTCGTGAGTTGTGGTAGAGGTGAATGTCGCTGTCACATTGGGATTGGCGTGTGAGCGGGTGTTGTTTGGAGGGGCTGGACTCGCGAAACTGCTTGGCAGGGCTGCGTGATGTGTGTGCTCCGATGGGTGTTTCCGCTTGACTTTTGGAGGAAGTCTCGTACGAAATCCTCGTTTTGCAGACTTTGACATGTGAGTTTTGGAGGAAGTCTCGTACGAAACGCTCGTTTTGGAGACTTGACACGTGACTTTTGGAGGAAGTCTCGTACGAAACGCTCGTTTTGGAGACTTGACACGTGACTTTTGGAGGAAGTCTCGTACGAAACGCTCGTTTTGGAGACTTGACGTGTGACTTTTGGAGGAAGTCTCGTACGAAGCGCTCGTTTTGGAGACTTGACGCGTGACTTTTGGAGAAAGTCTCGAACGAAACGCTCGTCTTGCGCAGCCTCGAAGCGTGACTTTTGGAGGACGTCTCGTACGAAACGCTCGCAGGACTGCTTCTAGTGTGCCACAAGAGTGTCCCACAAGAGTGTCCTACAAGAGTGTCCTACAAGAGTGTCCCACAGAGCGTCCCACAAGAGTGTCCTACAAGTGTGTCCTACAAGAGTGTCCCACAAGAGTGTCCCACAAGAGTGTCCCACAAGAGTGTCCTATAAGAGTGTCCCACAAGAGTGTCCTACAAGAGTGTCCCACAAGAGTTTCCTACAAGAGTGTCCCACAAGAGTGTCCCACAAGAGTTTCCTACAAGAGTGTCACACCAGAGTGTCCCACAAGAGTGTCCCACAAAATTGTCCCACAAGAGTGTCCTACAGGAATGTCCTACAAGAGTGTCCCACAAGAGTGCCCCACAAGAGTGTCCTGCAAGAGTGTCTCACAAGAGTGTCCCACAACAATGTCCGACAAGAGTGTCCCATAAGAGTGTGTCCTATAAGAGTGTCCCACAAGAATGTCTGGCAAGAGTGTCCCATAAGAGTGACCCACAAGAGTGTCCTATGAGAGTGTCCCACAAGGAGTGTCCTACAAGAGTGTCGTGGAAGAGTGACCCACAAGAGTGTCCCGGAAGCGTGTCCTACAAGAGTGTCTACAAGAGTGTCCCACAAGAGTGTCCCAGAAGAGTGTCCTACAAGAGTGTCCTACAAGAGTGTCCTACAAGAGTGTCCCACAAGAGTGTCCCACAAGAGTGCCCCGCAACAGTGTCCCACAAGAGTGTCCTGCAAGTGACCCACAGAGTGTCCCACAAGAGTGTCCCAGAAGAGTGTCCCACAAGAGCGTCCTATAAGAGTGTCCCGCAAGAGTGTCCTACAAGAGTGTCCCACAAGAGTTTCCTACAAGAGTGTCCCACAAGAGTGTCCCACAAGAGTGTCCTACAAGAGTGTCCCGCAAGAGTGTCCCACAAGAGTGTCCCATAAGAGCGTCCCACAAGAGTGTCTCACAAGAGTGTCTCACAAGAGTGTCCCTTAAGAGTGCCCTACAAGAGTTTCCTGCAAGAGTGTCCCACAAGAGTGTCCTACAAGAGTGTCCTACAAGAGTGTCCCACAAGAGTGTTCCAGAAGACTGTCCTACAAGAGTGTCCCAGAAGAGTGTCCCAGAAGAGTGTCCTTCAAGAGTGTCCCACAAGAGTGTCCCACAAGATTGTCCCACAAACGTGTCCGACAAGAGTGTCCTATGAGAGTGTCCCACAAGAGTGACCCACAAGAGTGTCCCATAAGAGTGTCCCACAAGAGTGTCCTACAAGAGTGTCCCATGTCCCACAAGAGTTTCCTACAAGACTGTCACACAAGAGTGTCCTACAAGAGTATCCCATAAGAGTGTCCTACAAGAGTGTCCCACAAGAGTTTCCTACAAGAGTGTCACACAAGAGTGTCCCACAAGAGTATCCCACAAGAGTATCCCACAAGAGTGTCCCACAAGAGTGTCCTACAAGAGTGTCCCACAAGAGTGTCCCACAAGAGTATCCCACAAGAGTTTCCTACAAGAGTGTCCCACAAGGAGTGTCCTACAAGAGTGTCGTGTAAGAGTGACCCACAAGAGTGTCCTACAAGAGTGTCTCACAAGAGAGTGTCCCATAAGAGTGCCCGACAAGAGTGTCCTACAAGAGTGTCCCACGAGAGTGTCCTACAAGAGTGTCCCACAAGAGTGCCTTTCAGGAGTGTCCTACAAGAGTGTCCTGTAAGAGTGTTCCACAAGAGTGTCCTACAAGAGTGACCCACAAGAGTATCCTACAAGAGTGTCCCAGAAGAGTGTCCCACAAGAGTGTCCTACAAGAGTGTCATTTGGACATATGTAGCTTTTCGAACGTGTTTGCATTCGGGTTCGTGGGCTCCATCTTGTTTTTTGTCCTCCACAATAGCTGGGCGAACTTGCTTGCATGTTCCTTTCCCGTAACCAGTCCAAAAAGGGTCTTTCTACCTAGCCAGAAAAAAACCGAAGTGTTGGGCTCTCCTCTCCTCCGTCCCCTCTCTCAACACTCCAAACCCGACTCCAAACCCCTGCCGTTCTGTTTCACATCGAGAACCGACTCAGCGCGGGACCCAATCTTGCTCGGTCTGCAGGTCCGGGAACGACTCATTGTCCGCGGGGTCCTGGACAGAACGCCCGGACGTCGAAGCAGGCAAGCGACCGCGCTGGCGGTGGTGTGAAGGCGGCCGGTGGAATCAAGGGGTGGAAGGTGCGGTCCGGGTATATGCGATGTGAGCTGGGAGAAAGGAGCAATATGATTTTAAAAACATACAAAGGTCATAGGGTTTGTTTTGATCCAACACCCAAGTTTCACCCCCAAACCGCTCTCGGTGCCGAAACTATCGCGCCCCCACTCCTTCCCCAGAACCGTAAGAAGACGAGTCCGGCGAGGCCTCGTTTGATCGAGTTCGAAGCGAGTTCGGTCGGCTTCGAACGGCCTCGAGTTGTTGGAGTTCGCCCTGCCAATCTTGCGTCAATTCCTGGAACCTGCGCAGCAGAAGACGCAGAAAGAAAACGCGCCATCGAGCATCACGGAAATGGCGCGGATGGTTTCTTTGAGAGGGCCAAAAACAGATCAAGAAGGGTCAAAGAGGTCATATTTTAATTTCCATGTATTACTTTCATATCTTTCATTGTTTATCATTGTTTGAGATCCCTACTTCCTTGATCCACTGGATCTTTGTTTGATGCTTTTGAAGATCACACGGCCCAGCCTTCGCAACATCTGCTGAACCTGTGGGACCACATCCGCCAAAAACTCGATTCGAGACACCGGGTCGATTCGAGACATGCAAACAAGGGCCCCCAAGTGGCACATGCCGGACTTCGCAAGCCGGGACGAGGAAAAAGACCATTACCATCATGGTCCACTGGAAAACTGCCGTTCTTTCGGGAGTGGCATGTTTTTTGTTTTTTCAGTTGATAAATACACTCACTGAAACAATCTTGGTGACGTGGACTATCCTCTGTTTTGGTATTCGGATTTCATGCTCATCCTTATGGGGGCCGTGCCATCCACGTCACCAAGATTGTTTCAGGGAGTGTACAGTCCGACTCACTATCACTAGCATGGAAGTGGAAAACCCCCTGTTTCTAAAGGAAAATAGTCTTCCAACCATGCCATCCACTTCCATGTTAGTGAGTCAGAGCTTATAAGAGTTTGATGAAATCAACCGTCAGCATTACTTCGCCATTCGGTTCCGTGTCCAGTACAGTAGACACTTCTGCGAATGTCTTATACTGTCGTGGCAGGTTTGTCGCAGTATGGACCCTCAAATAGATAGAAGCTCGTAGATCTCCACGTAGAACATGTCTTGGAAAAGATTGCCACTCTCTATTAGGGGTTGTGTCTATAGTACCTGGAATCATCCAGAATCGTTGTTTTTCTTTCCGGTGAAGGAAGCGCCTTGGTTCGATCGGCAATGAGCATCCGGATGTCTCGGTGGATGGCGGGCTCGTGCCAAAGCTGCACCTGGTGTTTCGGCACCCGGGGTCGAAACAAATACGTGACCTATGTGTGTTTCCTCTATCCCTTGAAAGACACATGGAAAAATGGAAAAAAACATGGAAAACACTAAGACATCTCTACCAAGTTTTCCGTGTTGCTATGTGTTGCTGAGCTGTTACTGTAGTTCTTGGGAGGGTACCAAAGGCCTTCCAGCTCAACAAATGTCCCAGGACTTTGGCCTCGAACCAGGTGTTGCTACTGGCCTTTCCAGCTTAGGCAAAGCAGAAAACTGATTTCAATGCTCCGGAAGAGTCAGTATTGCACCTACCTTAAGCATCATTGGACCCTGCTATGGAGGGGACCTTGAGGGTTCTTGATTCTCAGGGCAGTAGGGCTAGTAGGACGTCTTCTTTCAAAGTTGAATGGACAGAACACGATACACTATTCGCTCACAATCTATAGTGGCCCAAAATACAGCTGGAAAAGTACATCATCTCCATCTATCTAGGCAATCATCTCCATCTATATAGTTTGAGATCACTCAAGTGTGGACCCCATGCGACCCCTTTAAATCGTCTTGTTGACTTCAGTTCTGGCTGCCACCTTCCCATCAACCGCACGGCCCCCCTCCCCACACCTCGATGGGAAAGTGCCGACCCAGCAGCGTGTGCCTCGAGTGCACGTCTTATTTCGACGGTAGAGTTGGAGCGGAGCCCCTCACCATCAACCATGAATTACTTATCGAAGGAACTACAACATTAACTGCGCTGCTATAGGTACGAAGACTGTGGATGACTACGACTGTAAGTCACTAGACTTACAAACATATTTGGCATTCTTTTTTCTTTTGAGTCCTTTCGCTGGGGAGGTGACTGGCAAAAAAAACTGCTACTGCGTCGTTGGACTTACTTTCAACATCCACCAAGTGAAGTGCATCCCCACGTTCACTCTGTCCACCCAAAGTCCTGAGACACCCCAGAAGAAACACATCCCAGAAGACGGATGTAGAAACATCTCCCAAAACTACAGCTTCAAAACATCTCCCCAAACTATATACAGCTTACATCATCCCTACCCCTCAAAACAATGGTTAAGGGGGTGGGGATCTTACATCCCTTCATCAGTTCTACATCATTTCTTCCTTTTTCTGCCTCACCGAGTCGACCGACTCGCTCGGCATCGCCACCCGAAGTCGCTGCAGCACATACCTCGAACGCGCAGCACGACAGAGCTCATCCCAGAATGGGTTGAAGGATGTTGAAGGGAACATCTAACAGGAAAGACATGGAAAAAGACATCGTGTTTTTGCCGGAACGCCATGGTCTTCCTGTAGATGTTCCTGTGGATGGAACCCCCTTAAAACCCATCTCCTGCGCATCTCAACAACAAATTCGGAACCTCCGCGCGTCGGAACGCGGTCCGTTCCGGCGTGGTGAGGACGGAGTTCTGCGTTCAATCCGATCAGATCGGTGTGTTTTCGGAAAAAATAACCAATTCAAACACAAGGCACCACAAGATCTGTGTGTGTCCTTGTCGTACCGCCACGTGTGGCCGCTTCAACTCCTACCTGGTATGTGGCCGCTTCTGCGGACTCTCAGCCTGCAGTGTCTGAAGAGCTTAGCATAGCTTAACTCACTAAAATATATAGTGGTTCCCACATAGATAGTGGCACGGATTCCAATACATGTTTGGTTCGGATCTACTTTTCTATCTGTTTTGGAGTGAAAAAAAGAGTTTCTGTCTGGGGCGTGGTTCTCACACAAGCTTCGACGACCAATTTGACGTTATACCAACCGGACCAACCCTGTTAGTTTATTGCAACTTTGCTTCCATGCAAGAAAACCCAAAACATGCCAAGCACTTCCCCCACACCCACAAAAAACCTCCGCTGATGCACTGAACACCCGCCCACCCACTTTGCACCGCCGTGCGATTTTGTTCTTCAGAAGCCTGGAGCGACGGCCCTGCAAGGAGGATCCGGCGGACGCGCGGACGCAGATGGACGCTGATGCCGGAAGAGAGGTTCGAGGTGGGGAATGTCTTCTTCCATCTTCTTCCCACGACCAGATCTGCTGCCAGCTTCCCTTTTTGGCTTTCTTCGTGCTCCGTATAGTGTCTTCCCAACGGCCCACGGAAAAATCTCCACTTCGCCTAAACGGGCTCGCTGATTCGAAGATACAGAGAGGCCACTGTTTGCAGATCGACGGGGCGCAAATCGAGCGAGGCCTGGGCGCCGGACGCCCCGAGCTGGAACTTCTCGCTGAGCCAGCTGCCTCTCATCGAGCTGGTGAAGTTGAAGTTGGTGAAGTCGTAGCCCGACAAGTCCGATGAGGTTTGATGGCATGTTGAGCCTGCTCTTGGCATTTGCTGCTGAGTTCTTCGCACTTGCCTCGGATGCTCCGCAGAAGCTCACACAAAATAGTCGACGCATCTTGCGTTGGTATGGTCCAGAGAGAGTGCATACATGATTGCGTCATGAGATTCGTCCTCCATCTGCTTGTCGGTTGGATATTTTTGAGCATGTCGGCAAAAAGCATGAGCTGCGAACCACGCAGGTTGTTGAGATGTTCTTGCTCAAGGGATAGTTTGGATATCCAGACCGCAGTCGCTCGGACAACATGTCTGCAATGGGCCAGCATTTTCTTCAAAGGGCCAGTTTTCAGAAAATGTGCGAAAACATATTCGTTAAACATATGCGCCATTTTTGTTTAAAAGTCATTCTCGATCAACAAACAAACGACGTCATCAGACTTCATGGCCATGGAGTTGCTTTCCACCTCACTGGGTGCGCCAATCATTTTGCACCATCTTGTATCATCCGAGCACAAACTCCGAGGGACAAGTTCACGTCCTCTTGTCTTACAGCCATGCCCTTTTTCTAGTTGTACTTTCAGACACAACCCTTCTAAATGCTTGCTGTTGTCAGCTGTGCGCTTGTGTAACATACATCGACAAATCTGCTTCGACAGGGCACAACATACATGTGCAACAGAGTCATCAATGCCGTGCGCTTCGACAAGCAAGTCGAGCTTCTCATCTTTGTCGCCGTCCATGAGCGAGGCCATTCGACAAGAACGGATGCCGAATGGCTGGGTGCTGCTTTGTTGGTCTTCTTCACTCAACGTTCACCAAGGCACAGCATCAAGTTTGATTGAACAACAACAAGCTTTGAGCTCTGGACTTTCTTAAGGTCATCAACATTTGAAATTAACCACGTTGAGCTAAAGACTTTGTGTAGCAACATGATGACGACTTGAACGAAGCATGCGACGAAAGCATGAAAGCATGACAAGCCAGCAAGAAGGGCACAGCAAAGCTAAGGTCACTGCGTCTGCCAGCTCTCCGGTGACTTTGAACGGGTTGCCAATCTGTGCGAACTTCTCACCGTCCTGCAATTGCAACAGGCGGTGGGCGGCAGCAAAGTCTGCGCCTCTCGATAAGCAAGCGCAAAAGAACAATGCGCACGACAAGGAATGCAATGCATTGCGCAAGAATTTTGACCTTGGGATGTGAAAGTGGCTGAGGGAAATCTCTTCATGAAGTTTCAGCTGAACAAACCACTTCTGTTCTTAACTTCTCCCTTGCGAAGGCAGTGGCACTCTCCTTGTTTTGCCGAAAAGGGCATGGCGGAGCAATTTCGTGTCAAGCTCTTCCAGTCTTGCTGTCAGTCTACCATGGACAGTTGCCAGCACCAAAGATGCTGCTTTTACCCAGGCTTGATCATCGTGATTTTCCTGCTGTTGGGAAAGGAACTCCCAGAGGAAACTCAAGCGCTCAGCTTGGGCGTCTGCGACTGACGAATCTGTGAGCAAGCTCCTTGCAGATCAAGATCTTCTGGGTGTCTCGCACCGTCAAGGTTTTCAACATGTCTTCATCTACTTGACGAAGAAACCATATAACTTCTTGCTCGTCCATGTCTGCCAACAACTCCTGAAGTTGCGGAGTCTCTAACCTCTAAAAGCATAGGCACAAGTTCTTGCATCCGCTTTCCCCGAAGGAGCAGCAACGAAGACAGCTTCCTTTTGGCAGATACATCGGGTAACGACGAACGCACAAACTGCTCACCTCTCAAAAGCCATCTCAGTGCCTCAGTTCCCTGTAGTTGCGCAGCCACGCACAAAACCTCCTGACTGAACTGTTCTCTCCTTGTACGCGATAACCGCAGACTTCACATGCTGACTGGAGTTGAGCACCTCAGTTCCATAAACACATCATTACTGGAGCTGCGTTCAGTCTCGAAGTTTAGAACCACTGCTCATTGCTCGTGGGTTGACAAAGGCTCACGAGTGGTTGGACTGCCCGAATTCGACAGAAGCCACTGCCCACGATGCAGCGCCGAATTCGTAAGTGATTCCGTTTTCGCCGCGACCACCGGATCCGCCGATCAACTCCTGGGACAGCCGAGGTAGCGCGAAGCTCCTGCGGATGATCGTCGCGCTACCTCGGCTCTGGAAGGCTGGTAGGACACGACTCTCGGGGGCAATTGAAGGACACCATGTACAGTTTTTTGAGATGCTGGTCCAGCGAGTGGCCGGTTTGAGGCATTCATGCTCGCCACCCTGAGTGTTGCTTTGGCTGTCCTGTCTGCAGGCATGGAAAAGAGACTGCGATGCGACTTGACAAGCGTTCAAAAGATGCAAAAGAGAGCCTAGAAGTGAAGGTCATTGTAAAGTGCATGAAAGGCAAAGCAGGGCAAGGGCGAAGGTCCTCATCACTTTTGTGGCATTTCAACTGGGGCTCCATCACCACACTCAAACAGAAAGCTTGACCGGAAACGTTCATGCAAACCTCAGGGGAGTATTGAGGACTTCTATCCAACGCATGTGGACATCTACCAGGTGACAGTTGGTGTCCTTTCCAGCAGATCGCTTTTCGCTCGAGCGTCTTTACGATGTCCACAGCTTCCACGCTCCACACATCTGCAATGGCGTCCACCGACATTCCCTTCTGGCCTCCCACAGGCAGAGCAAGCAAAGGCTTGCTGAGGATTTGGGGGAAGAAGAATGAAACACGACGTTTTCTGTGTCCATTGATTCCAAGAAACATGAAGAAACGGCTGTAAAGGAAACTTGCCGGAAAGGACATGAGACGGAAAGCACCCAAACCCTCAAAGCATCCAAACCACCCAAAAGCAGTGGAGATATGAGAAAACGACCTGTGCCTGCGGGAGTGGTCTTTCGAAGCTCCCAAACATGTTGTTTGTCTTCCAAGAATTCATACGGAAGATCGTCTAGTAACGCCACCGTGTTCCTTTTTAAAACCAACCTGGAAGACCAAGAATCTGCGCAAGATCATGGGTGCGAAGAGCCGCTTTTTCTTGCGTGATCCAGGGATATCCAGGGATTAGGACCATTAGATACCATTAGGACAAGCAAATGACACTAACTCACTTGGGGAGGTGAAACATCTGCGGTAAGTCGGAAGGCGGTGTCTAGCAAATAGAGACTAGAATCGTCTGCAAGCTCCAAGCTAGAAATGAGGATTGTGAAAGATCGATTGGGGTGGGGGGTGAATCATTACAGTAACCCAGGCACGCTCTCTCCGCCCGACCATTCCAATACAGAAATTGCTACACACAACGCGTGAAAAACCTGCAAACTTGGAAAGAGGATGGTCACAAAATCTCTTCTGACTCTTCTTCTCTCTGTTCATGGGTCTCTTCCACCATACCGGTAGAGCCCACCGTTTTCTCCCGCCGGGTCCCTGAGATCCGCCGGGACACGCGACGTAGGTGTCGCGTGACTGAGCTTCACATCGTAGCTTCTTGTTAGTAGCGGTGCCCAGTATCTCCTAGTATCTCCTAGTAATGCCCCTGTTACTAGTAGCCATGAACTTGTTCCGATGTAGCTTCTTGTTACTAGTAGTAATGCCAGGAGCTACTAGTTAGTAGCTTCTTGCTCCTAAATGCCCGTTGTTACTAGTTGGTCTATTTGGGAAGCTCCACGAATTTTCGCTCCGTCGATATGGTTTGCCCAAGAAAAAGGTGTGTTTGACAGTATGGACTGCAGACTAGCATGGATCTAACGGTCTAATTTAATGATATATTTGTGAAGCCATGCAACATTTCACTCGGAGTGGCGGTACTTTTTGGGGTCAAGATTGTTGTACTTTTCGTTCCTGAAGATTTGTGATTTTGACCGTCAGTCCAACGGTATTCTTGCGAAAATAAATTTGCCTCAATGAGATCTTGACAGGTTTTGCAGCTATCCTCACTCCTGGCTGAGAAGAAGTGCAAAAATTATTACCTTTGACACGATCCAGGCCTCCTCCATTTTCCGCCAGAGACTTCTGGAAGGTTCAGCAGATGTCCAGCAGCAGTCAAGGGAGCTGAGATAGGAAGCAAAGAATCACCAACACTGCACTGCAGAAGGCTTACATGAGTCAACTCCGCCCTTGACTGTGACTCCGCTCTCGAACACAACTTCAGAAGCTATGGATGATCCTACCTTGTTCTCAATATCTTCGAAGCTCCTGGGGTCTCTCTGTGAAGGTTGCTTGCTTGAGCCGCTTGGGACAAACACCGTACTTGGCAAGCGGGCAGCAAGTTACCCACAGTCCAGCTAGAGTCGTCGGCCAAAATTCTAACGCAGCTTGGCGACCGTTCCATTGGGGCGGATGGCTGTGGGTCATGGCACCAGGGACACCCTGGTGTTTCCCACCTGAACATGAACAAACGCCAGACGCCCGGTCAACCACCAGGGTGAGTTCTGGGCTTCCAGGTGCCACCCAGCTGGCCATTCTGGAACTCAACTGGTTCCAATCTCGCAACAAGATGTCCCGTGGAAACATCATCCACTGGTCTTGTATATCTGAAGTGGATCATTCCAAAAAAGAGGAACATCATGGAACATCATTCCAACTTGTGATCCCTTCCCGAGGGTCTCTTTGTGGGTTGTCCCATTGGTCAAAAAGAGACGTCGATATCTTCAGTCGCCTGAGACATCGCGTGTGCACTCTAAGGCCACCGCTCGTCCATGTCGGAAAAGCTTTCTCCCACCTGAGGCTTTCGCTCGCCCATGTGGAGCCCGTGTCCGTCGGACGTCGTGACCACCGGTCAAAGGCTCCGGTGACCGTGATGAGTTCGTGACCTTCACGAACTGCAGCCAGATCCGCGAACTGGTGGAGGTCTTGACAAATCTAAGCGGAAACGAATCCATTATTGACACAACCTTCAAAACATTTCAAAACAAGTCCTTGGAAGCAAACCTGCAAAAGACCTCCTCCTTCTGGACCTCTAAAGTGCATGGTGGCAGCACCCTGTTCCTGGCAGCCAAACAAAGCGGGCCGAAAGGAACCTCTGGCTTCACAAGCACCCAGAGGGGAGCGCCGTATGCTCTCAGGAAACACCGCGGAGATCTCCAATTCACGGATCATCCGAAGAAGGAACGCGGTTTGGATCCGGGAAGAGCCGCAACTCTTGAACATCAAATCCTATGGGGGTTGTATCGCCTGCCAATTGAGATATCACCCAAACGGATCGTTCGGTAGCACTGGTTTCTTTGCATTTAGTGAGTGTCTTGTTCTTTCATTAGTGAGTAGGATTTGTTTATTGCCAAAAGCAAATCTTTTGTGGATGATGGTTGCAATACGCTGGCTGCAACACGCTTGAATGCTAATGAATTATGCTTTGCTTTGTCAGTTTGAAGCTCCTTCTGATTGACACCTCCTTCGTCTTGCAATCCTGAGTGACTACCCCTATCAAGGTCTCATCTTGAGCTTCTTTCTGTCTGTGTCAGTCTTTTTGGTGTTGGAAGCGGACAATCCATGTTTGATGACTACAAACCATGTTTGTACATTCATTCTGGGTGGTTGCAACCGTTTCGCCGTTTTTTGACCGTCCGGGTGTGCTTCCCCCTGCATAACTGGCTTCAATGTTGATGCTGTCACGTAGTTTAGATTTTATTGGCTTGTGATGGCGAAATCAATGGAATCTCTTTTTTTTTTCACGTGTTTTGTGTTTTTATCCCCAATCGATGCAACACCTCCGTGGTCTCCTTCATTTGCTCGAGTTCCATCTGGCTGGAATTCCAAACCTGGCAATCCGGAAAGGAGTTCGGCCATGGCCCCACAGCGGGCCAAATATGGCCCCGTTGTGGTCTTTGTAAAGGAACACATTGCAAAATACGACCAAATATGGTATTAGTATTAGTATAAGAAAACATTGCGAAATACGTCTACGGCCAAATGTGTTTCTCGTGTTTGGAAAACAACAAATTTGCAAATATGGTGCTTGTACACACCAAGTGTAACAAAGATTCTTTGTGAGAGTGCCCCCAAGACTGGAGGAAAGCATTACACTTCTTGGCAAGGAAGTGGATGGCATGGCCCCTTAGAAGGCCATTTTCTGAATACCAAACAAGGGGTGAATGCACTCCACTTCCATATTAGTTCCAGGGAGAGTAAGCTGTTTTGACCCAAAATCAGCTCTGTCCAAACGCACCGGGGTTGGATCGCGTGTCCTTCAGTAGAGACTTAAAGCCAGCTCTGTCTAAACGTTTTGGTGGCTTTGGCCACGTCTTTTGTCCTATTCGGTGCCAAGGTGCAATTTCCTCCACGTCACCTGCTTTAGCTGAAACTTTCAGGTCTTTAGCACTGCAGGCTGCGTCATCTTGGGTCGTTCTTAGCAAAGGAAACCGACAGAATCACCATGATTCTAGCGCCTGCTTTTGCCACCAACCTCTTGCAATGCAACCCAAGTACAGTACCCTTCAATTAAAGATCTGAATTGGCTACGTCTGATTCCACGCCCATGCGTTCCAATCTCGCTCGTGTCATTTTTTAAGCACTCGGACCATCCAAAAATCATCAAAGGATATATTCCAAGAACGTGCACCACTTCTCGCGCCCATAAGTGTATTGCATAATTGTAGCGTACTATGGTTCATTGGTGATCCCAAACGAAGGATCCCTGAACATGTGATGTAGGCTCTTGATTGTTTTTTAAATATATCACACACACTTGGACTGTAAAGCCTCTTCATTGATAATAGTATATACGGATACATATATCTACTGGTATATTAATGTATCCAATTATCTAATATTAGCCCAGCTTTGCAACCCAACAGCAGCAATTGTTAGCCCCAGCTTTCTGAGATTGTTTCGAGAGCTTCTCATGGCTCTCCAGTCGACGAATTTCTTTCGCATTTTTGCAGCCAGAACAAGATTTTCTTGTTCTTATATCCACATCGGAGAAAGATCATCGCCGGTCAGAAGATTTTGTGGCGGGGCAAGTTCATGCTTCAAAAGATTTTTGTTTGAACAGTGAAATGCTACCAATATGTTATTGAATAGACGAGCCTAGAAAGAAGATGATCTGGTTGAAACAAAGGAAAGCTTTCTGATCTTTACGTAATGGAAAACACTCTTAATTGAACTTAGTAGTGAACCATAAGGGGGCATACAACGGGCAAGCCTTTTTCCTTGCTACTTGTATTGTGGTGGGTTTTCTGTATGCCACAAAACAGAAATGTTGGCCCCGGTGTCAAAACCATTGGCTTGAGCTGTTGCTCGCAAAGCTAGCCCAAGCGGGCTTCAAAAGCAAAGCTGCAGTGCTGCAATTCGCCACTGCTCACAAAGAAGCCTTGGTGTCAGCGTTTGCCTAAAAATGTAAAAGGAACTTCATCTTAAATTTCGAACTAAGTGAACGCCCTACCTCCCCACCCTCTAGCTATAAAGCTGTCGAACAATCTTTGGTAGTCGCAATATTCGCCAAGCGTATTTATTTGCTTTTCATATGTTTTTAGAAAAACCAGCTGTCAATCTTTTAGAAGCAATTTAATTTGCGAAAACACACGCCGAAGGTTCTGAGAACCTGACCTTGGAAAGGTTTTAGCGCGGACCTGAAACTTTGCAAGCTAACGAAACATACTGCGCCGAACCATTGTGGTCAAATATGACGCAGCGTTGCAGGTTGCGGATGGGCAAACAAAGTGAAGACAAATTGCACACGAGCTTCACTGAGAACGAACCGGCCTCCAATACAAGAAGTTCGCAAAGGATATTGAACTTGGCCGCACATCAAGCAAAACATATCGGACATATCGGGTCAGACACCCCAAACAATCTTCGAGCACGAATTTGCACGCGCCCCTCCCTTTCACAGACAAAAAACAAATGTCAACATGCATCACCAGAGGCTCAAAGAAAGGCAAAGCAACTTCAAGCGTTCTAAGGTTCGCGCCCTGGAAGAATTTTAGTTCGATCTAAGATATATCGAGAATTGCAGTCAATCCTTGCGCTCGAACATGCCTTCAAAGAAGCTATACTGAAGATTGCACATTTGCAACCAAAGTGGCGGAAAACAATTTGACTGAGAACGGCTGGGCTTTCGACATAAACAAGGTGGAGAAGGATATAATAAACTAGGCCTGCCAAAGACCAAGTGGGAAGGACAACGCAAGGTTTGGCTTTGAAAAGAGGAATCCTAAACATCGCACAGCAAACATACAGCTTGGCAAGAATGCATCATTCTTTTCTACTCATCCAAGCACTCGGATCGGACGCGTTTCCATACCGATTCAAACATCTGCCACTTCTTTGAGGCCTCTCTTTGCGAAGGGAAGTGCCCTTGTCGTAAGAAGGCTCTTTTAAAACATTATTCTTTGCGGGAGACATCTCTGGCACTGGATCCGTTGCCTGAGCATCGTTTCCCTCCTTATCTTCCAACATTTTTCCTAGCCTCCTTCAAAGAATTTTTTGGGATAGGTCGAGTTCCACGACGAGAAGCGCCCAAACACTTTTGCACAGCAGGAGGTAAGCGAGCTCTCGCTCTGGAAGCTTGGGCTGTGGCACTGATCTTTTTGTGAAGCTGCAATTCTTTTTCGTACACTTGGTTAGAACCTTTGCTGTCCATGAGCTGCAAATCAGACCCAAAGCCTGTGTTCTGTTGAATCAAAGGCGGCTCGCAAAAGAAAAAAGTGTGCGGGTACTTTTTTGCAGGCTGGCCAATGCGTTGTCACTAATTTGGCCATTGAACATTCGATCTACTGCTTCTTGAAGAACTCTGCCTTCAAAGTGAACTCCTGGTATGCATGTTTCTGCATTGCGACCGTCAAATGATAGCAGCGCTTTGCCACCCAAACATAACGCTGCCCAGTGCTGAAAAGAAGGTTCAATGATTCAACATTTTGTTGCAAAGCTGGCAGTATTTGGGGCGCTTCGAAGTTCTTTCCAATTTAACAATCATCTTCCCAAACCAGCGCGTAACTTTCTCCTTTTTGAAAAGCCTTGAGAACTTTCTTGAGAGTTTGGGCGCGCGACTGAGCACATCCAAACTGACCCCAAACGCACGTTGCTCCTGACTGGCCCAGTTTGCCCGGACGGAAAACAACAGTCTTTCGTGAGCCTTGCTCGTCGAAGCAGAGCCGCGTTTTTGTTTGACTGATTTTGACGGCATGCCAACCAGACTTCAAAAGTTTGTGGCCGTCAAACAGCATCAACTCTGGTTGGGCGAAAGCCGATTTGCTTGCACAATGCTTTCGTCGATCTCCAGCGCATGTCTTGGCGCTGCAAATTGATAACGAAAGTTGTGGTATCCGCAGTCAAAGGCGGCATGTTTCCTCACGAAGGTTTGCTTCAGAAAGAGGCCATACAAAGGATCCATGAAACTATTTTCGAAACTACAACATTGAGAAACATCGGAGGTTGATAACCCTTTGTGGGAACATGTAACCGCGTATCTCTATTTTGGATTGTGCTGAAGCCAAACACATCGAATGCATAGACATTCTCACGTATATATCACAATTGGTTTGTGAATCTCCCGTGCTTGTTACCTAGGCGGTCTTTCCAGTCATTTTATAGGGATAGGGGCCTTATAAAAGGAAAAGACAAGTCTATGAAATGATCCGTGCAGGGTTCAAGCCTGAGTATCTATCAACAAACTCTCAATCTATGAAATGACCAGGCCAAGGTTTTAAGAAACAACAGGTGAGGGCACTGCCCAGCTCCGGCCCCCGGGCCAGAAAGAAATTGTCAAGTCTGGCCAGGGGCACTGGCGGCAATGAGCGGTGCGAGAGAAGGGGCCCATCTCCGGTTTCGACCACGAAAGTAAAAGTCATGCGTGGCCAAAAGCACAGGCGAGGGCACTGCCCAGCTCCGGCCCCCGGACCAGAAAGAAATTGTCAGGTCTGGCCAGGGGCACTGGCGAGGGCATGAAGTTGCACCCAACGACGTTCTGAGTGTGCATGGCAGTCTATGAAATGATCAGTGCAGGGTTCAAGCCTGAGTATCCATCAACAAACTCCCAGTCTATGAAATGACCAGGCCAAGGTTTTAAGAAACAACATGGTCTTCCTATAAAACCTTTCCGTTTGTTTTCTTAAAAACAAATATGAAAGCGAAGTTTTGCTCTATAGAATGACTATTTGTCATTTTATAGGAAAAGACATTTTCATTTTATAGAGGTACAAGTACAGGCGTTGTTTGCGAAAAAAGCCTTCGTTGTTGGCACAACGCCTTTGAAAACGATTTCGGAAAAAAGGCCTTCAGAACGGAGTCAAGTCTGCGCGCTGACTTCCAAGTCCTGAGGTGGCCTCACAGTGAATGTGATCCAACCAAAAAGGATGTTCAACAATTCGAAATTGTTTCTATGCATGCTCAGAAACGGTTGTGCAAACGAATGGTCTTTCCCAAGTCTATGCTTCTGCCCCCCGCGTTTTTTGGTAAAAAGGCAATGCAAGAAAGGTGGCAGGCTGGCTGCAGATGTAGTTTGGCGCCACAGTTGCGTTGGTCCGAATTGAAAGCATTTGGCGATTGGTATTTTGGCAATCTTACATTATATCACCCTGTTGGCCACATATTGTTTCATTGGTCTCTAGTCTAGAAAGCAAAATAAATCAGGCATGTGGTCTGAAGTGATGGTCTTTTGGGTATGCAAGGCTGCATGCAAATGCGATGTCCCACGATTTCCCTTGATCTCAGAAAGTCACAAGGTCCATAGTAAGCATTGTGCTCCAAACAATTCAGAGTTTGTTTGCTGCTTGGCCAACAACAGGGACATGCGAGCGCCAAATAGAGACAACTGTCACTT